CTGCATACTGACCTAATTTAATTTCCTTACTGTTCACGAAGATACCTTTAATACTTTTGTTTTCCCGAATCGCCTTGGCTAGCACTTCAACTGACAAAACAAACAAGTAATTAGGAAAGAGAGGACAATCTTCTCTTAGACCTCTTAGCTTTGAATTTCAAAGAAATCACTCGCCCCACCGTTGTTCAAAACACAGCTTTCAGTCTGGGTGGCAAAAGAAAAGATGCAACTACCAAAACCAAAAAGTTGAAAGTTTTTCTAATGAAAGACCATTCTATCGTGTCAAAATGTGAAGAGCTTTTTCAAAACCCAAAATCAAGAGTAATCCTGGAATATTTTTCTCTTTGGCATAGCAAATGACACTTTCGATAAGACGAATGTTTTCTTCAATTAATCTACCTTTTATAATTGATGACATAATTGATGAGATTAGGAAGAGAAGGTTTCAAGCGATTAGCAATTGACTTTGCCGCTATTTTGTAGTCGCAGTTCAGGAGGGTTAGAGGTCTCCAGTTTTTGATAAAGAATGGTTCTGCGTCTTTCTTAGGGATGAGTTTGATAATTCCTCTTCTCTGAGTTACTGAGAGTTGTCCAGTTTCATAAGCGTAGTTCAGTGCTCTAATAAGGATGGTGTCTATATCATTGCAAAAATACTTTGTAAAATTCAGCTGGCAAACCGTCCGTTTTGGTTTTACTGTCATACAAACGTACATACATCACCTTTATTTGTACACTATTAAAAATCCTAATTGAACGACAAAGTAGCGCGGGTTTTCAAGTCAATCACATCGCATTTAAGAATGGAAAGAGAAGCAAAGCTGGAAGTGCCCAGTCTGTAATAACCTCTAAATTACATGCTTTACAATATTCCAATAACCAGTAAACCTCCTTTATCTACACTGTAAATTCAATAGATCTCTTGCGGCCCTAAAATGCAAATTTAGCCCTCGCGACGTCTGATTCTTGGCCAATAGCTGGTTTGCATATGACGTCACTAAAATTCGAACTACAAAACTATTGATCTTCCTGGAATTTTACTTAAATGATGTATACGAGCAGCTGAAAACTAATATTCATACAAATTTTCGCTCCGAATGGGTTCTTGGTTTTGTGATGCACTACGCTTAAATTTTTAAGCTTTTGCGTGACGCGGCATTTACAGGACGGCCGTGATAGTTAAAAAAGTGACTTGTTTTAATGTTTTAGAGTTCCTTTGTAGCAAGACTCAGTGACAGATGTTTCTGTTGGTTTCCGGCCGCCATGTTGGTGCCCATACGGATGGGCACCAGCATG